ACATTGGGTGCAGGTTAGGGGCTTGCCACAGCGGCAGACACTGGGTGCCACTTGAAGTCCGGCTGTGGCACACACCAGCGGCCACTGGGGGTTGGAGTGGCCCCCAGACACTGTTACAGGGAGGGGGGAAGGAAGCTTCAGTGATCCTGCCCAGAGCAGCTTTGTGAGAGCTGCCGAGGGGGGGTGGACAGCCTCAGCGAGAATGCCCAGAGCAGCGGGGGAGGATATGGGGATTGTCAGGAAGAGGGAAAGGGGGGAAAATGTGAGGAGGGGAATACAGGGGAAAGTGATGTGCACCAAAACGATCTTGATGGCTCCCTACAATGCAAGTGGGCCTGGCCCAGTGGCTGGCACCACACAACCATGCTATAGTTTTCCTAGGTAGAGGCTGCCTCGTGGGGGGAGGGGAGGTAAAGGTGTTGACAGAGAGACAGATAAAGATAGATTTGCTGTTTGCTGGGAAGCAGAGAGGCTATGGGGGCTCTCAGGAAAAGGAAAGACGAAATAGTGGTGAAGGGGAAATGAGATGCATCCTGCAAGTCCTTGCAGGTTCCCATTCGTAGAACCTAAAAGCACACTCTGGCCTACTGCGTCAAAACATCTGAAACATTCAAAGTTAGAATCTATAACCTATGAATTGGAAACACTGTAACTCTTACATAGTGTACATTGTGGAATAGAAATGTATCCTTTGCTTGTGAGTTCAGAGTATGGCTATCTTTATGGGCTCAGTGATTATCTTCAACACATACCATCCTGTCTTTCTTCCATCATGGACCTTAATGTGGTAAAAATCAGATCTCCCATCTAGAGACCAATGAGAGCAATGAGAGCCAGACCTCCTTAGATTCAGCTGTATCATTCGGTTTGCTATATCATTTCCTCTCCAACCATACTCCTGGGTTTGAAATCTTGTTCACAATATACTGGATGGATCAAGTATGGCTTTATAATCCATGCTATGCAATCTTGTTTGTTCTGAGCAAGTCCCTGACACAGACCATGTGATTTCACTAAGCAACAATTTGGAAAACTGATTGACAAACAAGATTTTGGCAATTAGTCATTGTTTTTCTAACAGTTGACAAGGTATTTATTATGTGTCAAATGCACAAATTACTGTTGTGAATGTAAAGTGATCAAAGAAAAGTAGGGTGGAACAGGTTCAAATGCCATTTATATAATTTGTGGGGCAGCTGAACAATTTCACTGAACAAGAGTAAAACTAGTCATCAATTACCAACAACCAGATCAGTTAGCAGCAGAGCTGGAACTGGTAGGTATGTGAAATTACTGGGAGCCATGCACCACAAACATGAAAAAATTAAAATATTTGTACACTGAAAATATTTCAAGAACCATCTCCTTTTACAAAGCTGAACACCTGTAAGAAGTAAAATGTTTCTTAAGAAGTTAAAGAACATTGCACTTGGCTCTGTGTATGTTAATGTACATTCATGGGGAAAGGGGGCAGCAGGGGAATGTATGTGCAAAAGAAAAGGAGATTAATGGCAGGAGAACCTGACACTCATGGAGTGGAAGGGAAGAAGGCGGCGAGGAACTAGATCAGCCCCTAAACTTTAAACTGACATTTTTTAGAAAAACTGTGAAAGAACTGGCAGAGCTAGAACCCGGAATATATGGATCTGATCACTGTTGCTATATGTGATTATGTTAGTTCCCTGTCCAGCAAATGGTTTCTTAGCTGCAGAATATGTCCTCTTACCCAAGCTATCAGCTGCCTTTTCCTCACCAGGAAGTACTAAATCTTCCAGTTCAGACTGGGACTCTGACTGAGCAGCAATAATCTCATTGTCTGATTCCTGGCTTGAACCGCAGTTTCTGATTCCCAGAGTATGACTTCTAAATTCTGACCTCTTGTCTATGACTTCAGGCTTCAGGTTCTTGATCAGCAGCTGTCTATGGCTTTCACAAAGCAATGTATCTGAAAAAGATCTGGGTGTCCTGCCAGGAGAAAAGGACAACTACTAGCCTACTTATCTAGGGGGAATTTTCCAGAATATTTACAGTGGAGCTATCCTATGACTCCTTCTGAATGTCCTTTTTTTAAAAAAAGGTCAAACATGAAACAATTTATCACCTTTTGCATGCTAAATGGTAGAAAGCTCTCTCCTTCCCAAACTATTGTTACCTATCTTCCCTGAAGTTCTTCCATCATGAAGGAGTGATAATTTTCTTTTCTAAATGTTTTGATTTGGTTTGCAAAATTTAAAAAAACCCTTCTATTTCTGATCTAATATAATTTTTAACACTGTTTCCCAAAATGCATGGTGGGCCCTCTGATATTTATTTCTGTCTCAGCAAATCCTATTCTATGCATTACTATGGCTATTGCCTGATAGCATTATGCTCCCAACTAAATGCTCTTCTTCAGAGACAAAGTACTCCATTGTATTTCTTGCAAGGAGGCTCTAGGGCAAACCTTCACCCATCTCCATAATGCAATGAGCCATGCATAGGAAGCTACGCAACTCATGGGCATGGGGAAAGGTAACACAAGGTTCATTTACAGCAACCTACTCACATCCACCCAAAGCTAGTTAAAAAGATCAGTCAACAAACAACAATCATATACGTCATATTTATTACAGTAACACTTTCCTTGTAAAGTCTTTAGGGTCTTGAACAACTAGTCTTTCTAAAGAATATTTGATTTTAGTAGGCATCATTAAATATTGTTCATAAAGTATTTCTTGTAAACTTTCATGTTACAAAGTGCTCTTTCAAAATGGCAGCCAGCCAACCTACGTTGTTTTGCTGGCAATTAATTCTTGTGCAATGTACTGATGTAATTGCTGTAAGAAAGCTAAGAAGCTATCAACAGAAAGAATCCAAGCTAGTATGTCTAAGGGTAGAAGAAAATGGTGTCCCCAAACCACATGGTTTTCTGATCATTCTCCTATTAAGGCCTTCACCTTAAGCAGAGTTCTCTTACCTAATATACAGGAGCAGGAGGAAAGAACTCTATTGTGTAGGGTTGCTTGGACAATGCACCCTTTTTAATTGTGGAATGCTGAGAGTAATTAACTGAGACCCAAACAAATGGTAACCATATAAACTAAACTTGTTATTCCGGTTTCGTCCTTTAATCTGTTAAACATCTTCATTATGATATAAAAGGCACACAAGCAGAAGTTGCATACTTCCGAGACAAATGTATTCTGAATGGTGACAGTTGTCAAACATGTTGATAATAAGACGGATTTAATTTTAACATTTAACATTTTATTTTGCTGGAGTGATGACAGTTAAATTAACTTACTGTACTGCCCACTTTAAATGTTTTAAATTGGTTTTATTGTACTGTTTTAATATCGTTATTTCTTAATTCTTGATCTATGTTAAGATTGTATTGTGTCTGTCATTGTGAGCTGTCCTGAGCCTGCTTGTGGGAAAGGCGGGGTATAAATCAAAATAATAAATAAATAAATGGGAGTAACAACATTTCTATTGGTGGACAAGGGAAGGCAATTTCTGCCAATATTCCCCTCCCACCTTGCTTTACCCAAATACTGTTCCTTTCCTGAGGGTTACCTGATGCCCAAGAACAAAGTTTTAAGTTCAGTCAGATACAGGAGGAGTGTGAAAGAAGTAAGTTCTGCTCTGCCTTTAGTGGCAGCTTGGATCCAGCCCAACTAGACAGTTAACTATAATTTAGAACGCCGTTAATAATGACTTAAAAATAATATATATTATTAATTTAAATTATTTCTAAGCTCCACTCTCAGCAATAAGAGTACCATAGTGGTTTACACAAATTATTTAAAGCAATTTCAAACATTTTAATTTTAGTATTCTTAAACCATAGTTAATATTACATGGTTGCCACTTTGACCATGGGTATCTGTAAATATAAGGAAGCCACAAGTTGTTACATTAAACACACACATAATATTTAAATTCCCATTACTTGGGGATGACGCTTCATATCATGTGATGTGAAAGTGTACTCTTAGACTGCTGAAGCACTAAAGGCAGTTAATTAAATGGTGGAAATGGGTGGGAAAGGGATCAAAAATAAATTACCCAGTACTGTCTTGCCTTTATATAGATCCATGCTGAGGCTGTATTTGGAAGGCTGTGTACAATTCCATTTGCACTCAAAAAAATTGTTGGGTGGAAAGGTCACGATCAAGGGGTTTCCAAGGGGGAGAAAAGGACAATGGGGGTATAGCTTTATAAAATTATGAGTGTTGTGGTGAATGGCTAGCTAAGTTTATTGCTTACCGATAAAGCTTGGGAAATATCAAAATATTGGCATTAAGAAGAAGAAGAAGTGCAAGGCTGACAAAAGGAAAACACAATTAAAAGCTTAGAGAATTAATTACCACAAGATACGGTGAAACTTACTAGCATAGATGGGATCAGCTATACAATTAACAAATGATAGGTCTATTAACAGTAATTGCCCAGGATAGCCAATTAATTGAACCCCTCCAGTTTCAGAGTAAGTATATCCAATTAGCAGATGTTGGGGACAAATGAACTTTGTGATCCTGAGGTCTGTTTCCTATCCCATCATACGTAGCAATGGATGGGAAGAGTAAGAACTTTTTTTGGGGGGGGAAATGAAAATATTCAGGGAATATAACAAAATTGCACAGGCCATATGGCAGTGTTAAAAGGGCCACAAGATATTCACCTCTAAGATTAGGCCTCAGATATGTGTTATGTATCAAAACCTGCAGAAAATGTCTAATACTTTTAATGTAAAAGCACTAGCTCCTATGACAACCAAAACACATCACTTTTAGCTTTTCATTATGAGTCTTGGGGAATCAAGAACTAAATAATCAAGATTTCTTTCATATTTTAATGACAACATAGGCATTTATTGCAGCACAAATCTAAAGTATTATATTGCAAGGCATTATACTGTGAGGTATTGCATTGTACTGCGAGGTACTGTAAGTGCAATTTCAGATATAGTTGCAGAGATTACTTTACATGAAATGCAAAGTTAGCAACTCTGTATATACCTGGTCATGACTGGTTTCAGTGGAGCTTCCGATGCCATGGAAAGTCATCTGCAAAGGAGACAGTGTCAAACAGGTCATGCACTCTTTGCCATTCTGTCTGTCGCTGTACTGTACCTATAACAGAACAATTCATCATCTGTTAAAACTCAAAGCTATTCAAGAGAGTAAAGAAGCAAAACGTTTCTGAAATAAAATCAGACGGCAGATTGCATTGGTCCATCTTTACATCAGTATAAGGCTAAAGGAAGATGAGCGGCTCCAATGCTAGAATAAAGAATGAGCTACACTAAGAACCTCATCAAACCACAGTTACAGGAGAAGAAAAAATTCAACACTGCTAAGATGATCTGTGGGAAACCTATGTTCATTGATTGCCACATTTAATATTAGAACTCTGGTTGGCAAATATTTTTCTGATTCGCCACTTTGCATAGGCTATAAGGTTACCAGTTCCACTTGGTATGCCAAATAAAGGTTCTCTGCTCTCTGCTCAGTTCCACTAAAATCAGTCTTCCAGAAAACCTAGCCATTGCCCCAACTTGCCAAAAAATGATCTGAGACATCTGACAACCTACAGAATTAATGCCACTATGAATATGCTAGAGAAGACATGAAATCTGAAAAGTAGGTGAGAGCAAAAGTGCATGGACTCTAAACTGGGAGAACTGGGTTTGATTCCCCACTCCTCCACTTGCACCTGGCTGGATGACCTTGGGCAAACCAGCTGTTCTTGAAAAAGAGCAGTTTCTCTCAGTCCCACCTACCTCACAGGATGTCTGTTGTGGGGAGGGAAAGGGAAAGGAGTTTGTAAGCCGCTCTGAGACTCCTTTGGGTAGTGAAGGACGGGGTATAAATCCAACCTCTTCTTCTTCAAATTACAAGACAAAAAGAACAAAGCAAAATCACCCTGAAGACTCCTCTGAGAACTCATAGTGTGCTTCAAGATTTTGAGGGAGGAAGTGAATTTCCAAACTATTCCCCCTCGTGCAATTCCCTGTGAGCACCATTATGTCCCTGATGATACTGAAAGCTGGTCTATCTGCCTATAGAAGAGATCTCCAGTGTATATCTGTAGTGTGATTTTTAAAATATCATGTACGATAACATCATTATTTTACTCAACACTTGATAAAGTTTTCTAGCTACTTTCACATATTGTTTGTACTATACACCAAGCAAGCCTGCTAAATTTAGTAATTGTAATTTTAGTAAACCATATTGCTAACTGAGAAAAGAAACAGAAAATCCCCTCTTATACGCACTAATTTAATTCTGAATAACCAAAATCTGATCTGATATTTTCTATTTATCAACAACTAACATTACAAAAATGTTTCAGGAGCTTAGAAGTGAAGCATGTTGTAGTCACAGCCCTGGTATTTAGCAGTGTTCTGTAATAAACTATATTTTCTCGATCTTGTTACCCAGTTATTACATGCAAAAAAAGTATCCTTTGTGACTCACTCAAAACCACTTATATATCTGGATTTTTCAGTGTACGAAATTTGCTAAGTTTGCTGGTTTGCATAACCAGAGGCTATGAAATTTCAGTGAAACTCAGTCTGATTGTATGCATATTTCTCATAATGAAGCTCCCCAACATTTAACAGGGCTTTCTTGCAGGCAAGTGGATATGAATATGAAGCCGCCTGATACTGCGTCCATTTCCACCAAGTGCAAATGTCCGCATCGGCGTTCTTAAATAATCAAAGTTTGTAAAACTTTCCACACAGCTTTTTGCCTCCCTAGGAGTAAATCCAAATTTAGTGCCCCATTACCCTCTGTTTTCCGAATCCACTTTTTCTGCAATCCCCCCCCCCCTTTGGATCTCAACTCACAGTTTTCCAGTGAGGAATTCCTGACTTCGAATCTTGTTTCCTGCCGCCCTTTTGTGTTGTCATTGTTCATTCTTCATTCTCTCCCCCCTTTCCCCTATAGCTCCTGGTGTCTTTTCAATAACAATTCAGTCTTTTAAACATCTAAAAATAATGGAATTATATAATTGATTTGATAATCATGGAAACTCAACAAGTGCAGTGTTTCCATTTAGTGTGCTTTCTAATTATTAAATAACACAGTTATTAATTCATGAATCCAGTTTCACCATCGGAACACTATTTTCATTAGGATTTTGTGGGAATCTTTGCTGGCTATTTTCTTAGTTGGTGACTTAGGTGAAGCAGGGGACCTTTGAAATGGCAGCAACCATGATGTTCCCCATGATACATCTAGCCTTTTTAAAACAATGGTATGATGTTATAACATTACTGCATATGCAAAAAAAGGCGGTTCCGTCGCTGATGAAGTACAAGATGACACATTTAGTGTGCTTCATAATTACGTTTAAAAATATTTTATAGTTTTATTAAGGTTAAAGTAAAAATACACTGACAAAAAACTTAATCTTAATCAAGAGAGACCACTGCACACCATAAACATACATATCCCAAAGTTCCCAAAATAATCAAGTAGTTACATTTATCGTGTTTTCCACCCATTTATATAATCTAAACCAAAATCTCTCAAATACTTCCTGACTCTTTCCTTGTAACATCATTGTTAGCTTATCCATCTCAGCTATTTCTAACAGTTTCAATACTAATTCCTCGTTTGTTGGTGTTTCTTCAGTTTTCCAATGCTTAGCCAATATAATCTTAGCCGTTGTTAGTATATGGATTATCATACATAGGTCCAGCTTTTTATATCTCTCTGGAATTGCATTCAATAAAAATATTTCTGGCTTAAACGGAATTTGTATGTCTATTATTTCTTGTATTATTTTCTGAAGTGACAACCAGTATTTTTTTTCTTTGGTACACATCCACCACATATGAAAATATGTTCCCGGATTTTTTTTACATTTCCAGCGATGGTTGGATGTATTTGGATAGCTTTTTGCTATTTTATCCAGTGACATATGCCATCTGTGGAACATTTTGTATAGGTTTTCTTTATAAGACGTTGCCCTAGTAATTTTTATGTTAATTTTCCAAATCTTTTCCCATTGGTCTATATCTATGTTATACCCTATATTTTGTGCCCAAGTTACCATTGTTGTTTTAACTATCTCATCTGGCATCATTGTTTCTAACAATAAAGCGTATAATTTTTTCATTAATTTCTCCTCTGTAGCCAGCCAAATTTTATCTAATTCCGGTGGCTTCTCATAAAAACCATTCTTTTCATCCCTTTTGAATCTTGTTTCCAATTGCATTCTCTCCCACCACATCAGGTTTGTATTACATTCTCGCAACTCATCAGTTGATTTTCATTTGTTCTGGGAATCCAGCAAATCTTCATACCTCCATAAAGGATATTTCATATATAATGTAGGTTTGATAAGTGCTTCCAAAGAGGATATCCACTTAGGTATCTTGGTACTATATAGTTTCTTAACCTCTTTCCATATTTTAATCAAGGACTTTCTAAGGAGATGTTGGTTAAAGTACTTATGTGTCTCATACTTATTATACCATAGAAAGGCATGCCACCCCATTAATAGATCATGACCTTCTATTTTTAGCAACCTTATATTTTCCAAAGTTACCCAATCTCTAATCCAAATCAATAACGCTACTTTATAATATATCTTGCAATATTTTTCTTTTAATCCTAGGTCTTTTAGTTTGCCAAATAAATTTTCCTACTATTTTATCTATGTCATTAAAATACTGCCGATTTCTCAAAATTGGAATATTTTGAAAAATAAATAGAAACCTTGGTAGCACATTCATTTTAACCACAGCAATCCTATCCATAAAAGAAAGTTGCAGAGTTTTGCAATTCTCAAGATCTTTCTTAATTTCTAAGAGTAGCTTCTTATAGTTATCTTCAAGTATGGAGCTAGTTCTATTTGTCAATATAATTCCTAAATACTTTACTCTTTTCGTGATTTCTATAGTCAAGATTTTTTTGAACATCTTGTATCACATGTTCAGAACAATTGATTTTGAAATTGATTTTCATGCCAGCTACCTGGCCAAATTCTTGTAGTCTATTCAAGAGATGTACTATCATTATTGATGGTTCTTCCAGGACATAGACTAAATCGTCTGCAAAAGTTTACAGTTTAAATTCTTCCCCTTTCACCTTGAGACCTTTAATTAAATTATATTCTCTGATGATATTGTTTAATGTTTCAAGGATGAACATAAACAATAAAGGGGAAAGAGGGCAGCCTTGCCTTGACCCTTTTTGTATTTCTATCATTTGTGTCACACCTCCATTTACCAGGACTCTGGCCCATTGTTCTTCATAGATTACTTTGACCATTGTATAAAATTCTTCTCCGCGGTTCCAATTCTTTAATTTTTCTAGTAAAAAGTTCCAACTAACACTGTCAAATGCTTTTTCAGCATCGAGAAAGACAAGTGCCATCTGCTTTTCAGAGTGTAGTTCATAATGTTCCAACTCATTCAAAATAATTTGTATGTTATTTCTTATCTGTCTTTTTGGCAGAAAACCTGCCTGGTCTTGATGTATACCCTGCACAAGAACCTTTTTTAATCTAGTTGCTAATATGATTGCGTAGATTTTATAGTCCGCATTTAGCAAGGAAATTGGCCTATAATTCCTTATATCTTTTTGATCTGTATCTTGTTTGTAAATTAATATATGTGCCGCTTTTTCCATCTCAAACCTTATTAGAGTACCTTCCATCTCTTCCTGTCTTACACATATATTCTCTAGTTGTTGTTCCATTTCTTTAAATTTCCCTTCCATCATATTGGTTGATGCAATCACATTCTCTATCTCTTGCTTATTCTCCACAAGTTGCCTTTTAATGTCTTCTGTTTCCATAGTTAATTTTTGTGTAAGCACATCTATTTTTCTTTCTATGGGTTCTATCGCTTTAGCCACTAAGAAAGGTATAGTATTTTCTATTAATGCATTTATTGCTTGTGCAACACTTTCTTGTATTAAAGTTTGCAGTTCTTTTTTATTAATCTGGGCTAAATTAGTTGCTACCATTTTCACTTGTCCAGGTGATGGAACAGATACTTTTCTATTTCCAGAAGACATTTTTTTGTCTTGCTATTATTTCTTATTATACTGATTCTTTTAACTTTGCTTGGCTAGCTTTTAGTTATTTATGTTAGTTTGTGTCCTGAGGT